CTCGCCCTCTCCCTTTCCCTCTCCCTCTCCCTCGCCGTCGCCCTCTTCGTCGCCCTCGCCTTCAGCCTCGCCCTCTCCCTTTCCCTCTCCCTCTCCCTCGCCGTCGCCCTCTTCGTCGCCCTCGCCTTCAGCCTCGTCCTCGTCCTCGCCCTCGCCTTCAGCCTCGCCCCTCCTATCGCCCTCAGCCTCGCCCTCGCTCTCGCCTTCAGCGTCGCCCTCGCCCTCTCTCACCCTCACCCTCGCCCTCGTTGTCGCCGTTGCCATCAGCCCTGTCAGCCTCAACCCAACGCGGCTCGACTGCCTGATTCAGTCACTCTTTGCGTCACTTTAAGCCACTCCCCTTCTCCTCCTTCCAAACGCTTGTTTACTGGCTTTAGGCACAGTGACAGCGGAGGCTCGGTACCTGTCGGATTGTGTTGTTTTTAGGCTGTCAACTCCGAATTGCATCGGGCAAGTCGGACTTTTTTCCGACCCAAGTTCTCTCTTTGCACCGATTCAGCACAATCGTCTCTCGGCCAGCTAGCACAAGGACTATGCGTTAATGTGTCTCGGTTACACACTGAGGCTGCATGGTTCGAGTCCCGACGCGGGTGGTAATTAGGCCCAGACGAGTTGGGCTGGAGACTGCAGTCCATTCGAGTCTGAATGGGTACACCTTTTGCCATTCTTATGTGATTGTCGAGAGACTACTTGTAAAACACAGAATTCCATTGGTTTGTATGAAAAAAGCTGGGTTTTTCAGCAACCCTTGATGAGTTAGTGTGATTTAATTTGCTATTTAGTAGCAAAGGTTGGAGAAAAGAAATGTGTGAATTGCTCCCATCCGAAACGGAAGTCGTAAAAAACATCATATGACAAGCAGTATCGGAGGTATTTTCAGTTTATAAGACGTATTTAGCCCTTATGCCGTTCAAGGTGATGAACGACTGGCATTCGACTCTTCTCGCCTGGTTCGAGTCCCGCCGGCTGTGCTTACGAGACCAGCTGAGGCGAGGTCAAGACTGCGTATTGAATTGCATGCATAAACCGAAAAATAAGGGCAAGAGTCGGTTTGGTCTGACGTCAGAAATACCGCGAAGAGTAAACTCAATCCTACTTCCACGGGAATAGTAGTCACGGCCATTTTCAGCAGCAAACAGTTGCTTGGTTATACTCGCAGATGTATTCAGCATATCTCGTCAAAGTTACGAATAAGCGCAATCGCCTTGGCCACTTTTCCGTACGCAGAACACGGCATCTCTTCTTCACACATCTCAGCACCACTTGTTCCTCCTACCCATTTCTGTATCTTCGTTTTTTCAATATTCCCCAAAAGATGTCCCTCTCAAGTGAATTGAGTGGGACGCAGGCACCTCCAGTCTTTCGCCTCAATTCAGCCAACCCCTCCAGACTGGTGGCTACTGGCCCCGAAAACTTCTGTCCCACTTAATGTCTTTCCATCCCTTCCTCCTCGATCCCGGCCACCCTATCCGTCATACTCGAGAAGTTACTCACCATGGCAATGGCAATAGAAGATGGCGCACAACTTGGCGCCATTACCACTTTGACGACGAAGATGTTGTTGGCTGTATCACCTCGTTGTCGCGACTTACTTGTGTTGTCAATGCCACCTAGTTGGAGGCACTTTGTCCAAAGTCGTCTGCTATATTGTTGTGTGAAATTGGAGGATAAAGAGGTTGGTGGCTCGATCCCACCGGAAGATAACTGCTGATCCCTATTCATCTTCAGGCGACTTCCAGGTTGACGCATTCCACGAGACATTGTACCTGGTTTTGGGGTGAAAACTGGCAATGCATTCATGTTTTACATGACACACTTCATCAGAACACGATGCATCATCCTCGATTTTTCTTGACTCGTCTGCTTGAATATGGTTCCAAGGATGATAACATCTGCTCTGATAACGTGCGTCACACGGCGCATGAACACATGCAGAGGATTGCAGTTTGACATAAAACTTTAATTAACCAAATGACTTTATAACTCGTCAAAAAGATTAAATTTATGGGGCATATATACAGTATTTAGATTCAATGATAGTCTTTCTACCCTGACAAAGTCAGTCATACGACGGACGAAAGCTTAGCATCTTTTCATCCAAATTGAAGGAAACCGCGTCGAAAGGAATGTTCAACTAAAGTTACTCGATGCCAAAATAAATCTGTCGTTGGTCATCTTCTGGTAGGATCCCCCTTCGCATCTCTTCACCAAACACTTCCACACGAAATGGAAGAGAGATCCCTCTAAACCCGACCGTGGAA